AGAGCGATGGCCTTCAACCTAAGAGCGATGGCCTTCAACCTAAGAGTGATGGCCTCCAACCTAAGAGCGATGGCCTTCAACCTAAGAGTGATGGCCTCCAACCTGAGAGTGATGGCCTTCAACCTAAGAGTGATGGCCTCCAACCTAGGACCTAAGAGTGATGGCCTCCAACCTAAGAGCGATGGCCTTTAACCCAAGAGTGATGGCCTCCAACCTAAGAGTGATGGCCTCCAACCTAAGAGCGATGGCCTTTAACCCAAGGGTGATGGCCTCCAACCTAAGAGCGATGGCCTTCAACCTAAGAGTGATGGCCTCCAACCCAAGAGCGATGGCCTCCAACCCAAGAGTGATGGCCTCCAACCTAAGAGCGATGGCCTTCAACCTAAGAGTGATGGCCTCCAACCTAAGAGTGATGGCCTCCAACCTACTAGCTTCTAGGATCCCCACTCAGCTTGAGTCAGAGGACTTCCTCACTTCGCACTGCCGCGTCTGCACCCGTCTGGCGCGGCTCCCACAGCCTGACGAGCTGTCGGAAGCCCGGACCCCGGCGAGGTCCGCGTCCTCAAGGGACACTCGTGGAGAAACCGGGCCATTCCAAGTACACTTTGCAGAGGACTGGAGTGACTTTGACAAATCAACCAGTGCATTCTCTTGAAACCTTGAAACACATAGAAAGTATGAACTAATTCAAGGGTTTTCATACGGTTTGGAGGCCATTGCTTCTCCATTGCTATTGGGTTGCAAGCGTCTTTTCTTTGTGTCTATTTCTTCTCACTCTTTTTTTATATCTGCCGCTTCCCAGGAGGACGTGGAGTGCCGGGCCTTTGAAGCTTTGCTCTCTGAGGGAACCAGTTATGCGTCCAGTGCGGAGGTCTCGGGCATTGCCCGGGCGGAACAAGACCCGCGGAACCTGGCGAAACTGCTCATCGGCTCCTTGGAGAGAGAGAGAGAGAGGTCCGGCCTCGAAGAGTAAGAGGAGAATTCTATACTAATTCTTGTTACGTTCGTAGCTTCTTGTTACTACTAGTAAGGCACTTGTTACTAGAAGCGATGCACTTGTTACGTTCGTAGCTTCTTGTTACTACTAGTAAGGCACTTGTTACTAGAAGCG